CATTGGTCACGTCTGATAATCAGTGTCTCTTTCTGCATTTCAAGTTCGGAGGAGATGGGTGGGATGTTTCACCTTCAGTCCTCTGGACGCATGGTTTATCAATGCGTTGATGAGAGGCCTGACATTTTTGGAAGGTGACTTTCTTTACAATGCTGTCAAAATGTAAATTGCGCTTCCATTTCTGCGCACTTCACTCTGCATCAGTTCATAGAGTTCTTCTCAATGTCCCCCGCACTTGGCCGCTCCATCATCTCTTATGGCCCAATAATATTCCATTGCATTCAGAAACCATTCTTGTTTAGCCCTTCCCTGACCGATGCTTCCTTGCCCCACCCCCGTGTCCTTTGCACTTTTTGGCTGCTACAAAAAGAGGCACTATAAATGTTTGTGTACGCTGGGGTTTTTTTCCTCTTTCTTTCATCTACTCGGGGTATAGGCCTAGCAGTGGTTTAATTGGGTCAAATATAATGCATCGACTCTTCTCATCTGTCATCGTCTTTATCAGTTTTCATGGTACACGATGAAACCTCACAGTTATCTTGTAACAGTGTCCAATTCTTCTTCTTTTTCTTAATGGTGTACCCTTTAATATTCAGGTCTTATGCAGATAGGACTTTTATTTCACCCCTAATTTCCTTGTTTTCCCTAATATCTATGTTGTACTGATGCTCTTTAATACCACCATCACTTTCAATGACTCTTCCCTCCACATCCCGGCCTTCATAAGCTAGTATAGTTATGGAAAACAAATCAGCCCATGTCTTTGCCTGCCCATTCGATATCTGTGATCCACAATAGAGGCCATGTGCAGCAGTAAAAAGAGCACTGGATTTTAGAGTCAAAGAACCTGGCATCTAGGCTAACATGGCCACTTGTGTGACCTTGGGTGAGTCACTTAACTTCACTGCGCCTCTCTTGACTCGCCTATAAAATTAGATGGCTGAACTCAAGGAGCTATGGGCCCTTCCAGCCCTAAATCTCTGGTCTTACCTGCTCAGAGAAAGGTAAATCATTTTTATACTCAGTTCTCTAAAGTTAGCTGATCGTGGATTGATTAGAATTTCATCTGGCCCCTGATGTCTTCCATAATGTTTCTAAATGAACCTGCTAATGTAAAGACTGTTTATACAAATGCTACACATGAGATGAGGAAAGGCCTCTGAGGCGGTGACAGGACCCCCTCCTTCCTCTCCCTGTGCCTGGGCAAGCCAGCATTTTTGGCTGGCAATGCCCCACAAGCATGGTTCCCCACTGCCCAAGGTGGGGGCTGCCCAGAGCAGATATTGGGGGGGGCGGATCTCGTTCCTAGAGATCCGATTTACTCCAGATGCCTCTGAGCAAAGAGGGAGAAGAGGCCCAGCTGCGAGGGCACATACTTTTGCTAAGTAGTTTTGTAAAGAGGAAATTCGCGGCATTTCTCAGCCTCTGATTTGCCTCATAAATCAGTACTCTTAGAAGGTAAGAGGTTCAGGGCATCATTTGCCCTCATTTGCTGTGTCACACAGACTGGCTTTTGCTTAATGAGAAACAGCCCTGGGTGTGACTTGTAAAAAGTCACACTTGGGTGCTAGCCTGAGGTGCTGAAACCCACCCCACCCCCAGTGAGTTCCTAGCTCCCAGCCATCCTTTTGCCTTTTCTTTTTAATTCCCTGTGAGGATCTAAATCACCTGTTTTGGGGGAGAAGGAAAGAAGGAAGAAAGTCAAGTATTTATTAAACACCTACTATGTCCCAGCCACTATGTGAAGAATTTAACAAAAATTATCTTATTCTATCTTCACAACAGCCCTGGGAGGTAAGTACTAGTGAACTCCCGATATTACAGTTGAGGAGGCTGAGACAGACAGGTTAAATGACTTGCCCAGGGCCACATAGCTATTGTGTGTCAGAGGCTGGATTTGAACTGAGGTCTTCCTGCTTCTAGACCGAATGCTCTCAGACAGATTTGGATGGCTTCCCTCTCCCTGAGACCCCGTAAGTCATCTCTGTGACCCCAGCTGCTAACCCAAGGTTCTGCACGTCATGAATATTCTCTGAATGTTCTTCAGATTAAATCTGTTGATTTAAAACAAGATGGAAATACACCTCTTGACATGAATAATAAAGCCAGCGTGCCAACCACATGCCTGCAGGATGGAGGAGTAGTGGGTTCTGTTCTGGGCACCATTTTGTAGGAAGGATGTTTATAAAGTTGAGCATGGCTGGGGGCAGAGGTCTCTAGTTTATGCCAAATGAGGAGCAGTTGAAGAAATGGAGGCTGATGGACCTGCAGATGAGAAGACTAAGAAACAGAGAGCCATTTTCAAATACTTGAATGGAGGTCATTTGGAGGAGAAATTAGTCTTTCTGCTTTGCCCCAGAGGGCAGAACTGGGAGGAGCAGGAGGGAGCTACAAATACCTAAGGGTTGGCTTAGTGTTGGGAAAACTTCTCAGCAGTAAGAGCTAGTCTAACATGGAATGGCCTGCCCTGAGAGACGGTGCCTTCTCCCCTCACCAGATGTCTCTAACTGGCTTCCTGGACACTTGATAGGTGAGGTCGAAAGGACTGGGTTAGACCAGTTCAGTTGTGGGTTAGACCAAATGGTCTCTCAAGTCCATTCCCACTCTGAGAATCTGTGATTTATGTAACACAGAGAAATGTTTGGAAACCTTTCTTCTCCTCAAAGAAGAGACAAGCTCTTTGCTGGGGATTCACTTCTCCTGAGGCCTGAAGGAATTGAGTAAAGAGAATGGGCATATAGGTCTCCCACGTGGTGTTGGTTAGCATGTCATTTGTAAATCATAGGCCACTCCTCTAAGCTACAAAAAGTCTGCTCTGGAAAGTCCTAAGGTGGGGGAGCTAAGGCAGCCTGGTGTCACAGACTTAGAGTCAGGAAGACCCGAGCTCCAATCCAGCCTCAGAAACCTAGTAGCTGTGTGACCCTGGGCAAATCACCAGCCCTCTGCCTTAGTTTCCTCATCTGTAAAATGGAGATGATAATAACATCCACCTCCCAGGGTTGTTATGAGGGTTAAATGAGATAATATTTGTAAAGCACTTTGAAAACCTTAAAGCTCTATAGAAATGCATGCTGCATCACTACCATCATCACTGTTATAGAATTCCTCGTCTTAAAGCCAGAAGGTTGAGGTTGAAGCCTTGTCCCATTACTTACTAGCTGTGGGACTTTGGACAAGTCACTTCCCTTTTCAGAGCCTCAGTCACTCCACCTTTGAAATGGAGATAATAATAGTGGTCCTGCCTTATAGAATCATTGAATTTTAGAGCAGGAAAAACCTCAGAGGCTGTCTACTCCAAACCATACCTGAACAGGAATGAATATGGGGTGGGGGGGAGGGGGGGAGGCACACACACATGCTCTCCATTTCCAGCAAGCAGTAATTCAGTCTCTACTTGAATACCCTTAGTGATGGGGACCTCACTGCCTGATGAGGCATTTCACTTTGAGATAGCACCAATTGTTATTTAGTTCCTTTGTTTTAAACATCAAGCCAAATCCACCCTTCTGCAGTTTCTGCTATCTCTCTTAATTATCCTATCTAGAACTAAACAGAAAAAAGGCTAATTCACAGAGCAAATTAACCACATACGATATTGTGTTGCACTGAAGGGAACTTGGGGGCCATTGGGTCCAATCCCTTCTTTTTACAGATATGAAAACTGAGGCACAGATCATTTGGCTTATCAAAGATCACAGAGCTAGTAAATGTGTGAGGTGGGATTCAAACCCAGGGCTTCCTGATTCCAAGTCAAGCCTTCCATCCATTAGAATAAAATTGTAATTCATCAGCATTGAAAGAGCGGACCTCCCAAATGCCTAGGAAGTTGTGTTTTCTTAAAAATTGCTTATTTAGTGGTCCCTTGTTTCCTGTAACTGTATATGGAATTGAACTCATTGTTCACCCTTGAGTGCTTGGTTGTATCTGTGGCCCCAGCAGTATGTAAGCTGCCATGAGTGGCATGTATCCCTATGGAACTAGGCTTTCTCTTCATAAGTAAAACATGGCAGCAGAGCGTGGTGGAAAGAACATTGGCTTTAGAGGCATAGGACCTGAGTTCAAATTCTACCTCTGTCACATGCCTTTGTATTCTTGACCATGCTATTTAGCTCTTCTAGGCCTTGGTTTCCTTATCTATCTTATAGGCATTGGACTAACTAACTTTTGAGAGGCCTGATGTATAAAGAAAGGATAGAGCTCTGGACTTGGAGTTCAAATCCAGCTTCACCACTTACTAGCTGTGGGACCCTGAACAAGTCACTTAACCAATCTGTGTATCAGTTTCCTCATCTGTAAAATGAAGGAGTTGGACTCCAAGGGCCCTGTAAGCTCAAAGTATGATCTATGGTTCCTGGGAATGAGAGCTGCCCCAAAGTGGAAGGGTCTCCTTTGGGAGGTAGAGGTCTTTAGGATGGAGAAGTCAAAGAGACCACTTTGGGGGCGCGATGGAGAGGGGATCATTGTCCAAGTACGGGCCGGACTGGCTGACTTCTGAGGCCCCTTACAGCTCCTGCACAGTCTGTGATTTCATAATTTGTTCAGAGAGACCCTTTTTCTTTACCTTTGATTCACAGAGATCTTCACTGTTCTTTGTCCCCTGCTTGTCACGCTGTGGCAAATTCTTCCTGTATAGGCTATTTTTAATCACAAAAGAAACCAATCAAATGGTCCATCTTGGAGCAAAGTAGTTGGCCCAGTTAGGGCAGCCTTTCACCCTTCCCCTTGTCAGATGTAATCATTTGGTTTATTCAGGCAGGCAGGCTCCCTCTCCTTTCTTCCCCAGGGAAAATGAGAGACAATGGCTCAAAAAAACAGGCAAGTCATCTCTCTTTAGAAGAACACCGGTGTCCCTTGGGGGACTACATGTTTTTATCGACATTCCACTATCCCCATATCCCCAGTGCCTAGAACAGTGCTTGGCATAGAGTAAGCACGAGGCAGATGCTACTTGACTGACTAACTGACCTTTCTCTTCCTTCATCCACTGGAACGTGGCGCAGAAGTGATCATCCCCTCGCTCAGCTTTACTGCCACTCCATAATGGAGCACCATCACTTTGACCAATGCCTCATGATCCTTAACAGCCCAGTAAGTATCTAGCTTGTAGTTGCTTGATTCAAAAATAATACTTGGTTGTTGGAGTCTTATTTTTAGATTTTGGAATGATTCCCAGCATCATAAATTCTTAAGCAGACTTTATTCCTTTTTGGGTAAGGAAGGAAAATCCAAGCTGTTTGAAAGCTTCCGAGTGTGGCTGACTTCTGGGTGCTCCCAAGCCTGCCTAAACAGAGCCCCTGAGGGAAGCTGAAGTGGTCGTCTGGACCATCTCACGTAAAGGCCACCCCGAACAAAGCAGGGCTGGGCTGCTCAGGGATGGAGACTCCCAGCTCAGAATCCTGGGGCCTCTGGACTGCATTACCTAGCAGCCCCTGGCTTTGTTCTTGGCAGCTGGCTGCCCATCAACCTGTTCATTCCTTTCTAGACAAAGACGTTGTCTTCAAAAATCAAACAATTACAACTCCTACCCATTGAAATGCTTTATCCCTTTTTTGGTTATAGATTGAAGTTAATAAGTGAGGGAAAAGGGGTGGGGGAGTTGTTGTTTTAATATAAGAAGAAGCAGGGCATAGTGGATAGAGAGCAGGCCTCAGAGCCAGGAAGACCTGGGTTCAAATCTCCCTCTTGACCTGACACATACCAGCCAGCTGACCTGGGCAAGTCACTTAATCTCTTAGTGCCTTAGGTGACCTTTTTAAGAGTCTATGTTGCAGACAAAGTGTAGACCTGCATTGGTGGACGGAGTTTTCTCATCTGGGAGTTCCCTACATCAGTGCGATCATGGATCCAATCCCCATTCCTACCCTAAGAAAAGCACAGGGTAGATTCCATCCCTTCCCTCCACTCTCAATCCCTGCTGTCCCACGGCTCCTCCTTCAATGGATCAGGACCTGTGGAGACACTGGGCTGCCTCACAAAGACTCTGAGGACTTCACTTCAAATACCAACCTTGCCGCGTTTTCCCTGTGTGATTTGGGGCCAGTCACTAGTTATCCGGGGTTGTTCTTCACAGGCAAGGGGACCCCTTGCATATCTACATATTTGATCCTATGACCTTATGTCGCAGAGCAAATCACCCCCTAGAAAACCTCATCAGGGCCCACAGAGGAAGTCCAGTCTACCCTCTTCTGGGTGGTCTCCCTCCAGCCCTCCCAGGGGTCCCACCATAGCACCAGCTACTTGGTTCAGTCTCGGTGTTGGACATGGGGACAGGGAGGAAAGGCCAAAAGAAGGCGTCCGCAGCCCACTGGCTATTTGTTTATTTTGGTGCAACACTTACCCGAGTGCCCAGCTTCTAGTAGAAGCTTAATGAATACCTCTTGATTGACTGGTTAATGCTAACAAAAAAAAATAAGAGGTCATTTTCCTGACATTTTTCTTTTTAAGCAAGAATTTAAATTTCTATCACCTTTTAACAACAGTTCAATTCTTCAGAACCTGTGGTATTCCGTGCTAATGTATATAATCAGAGCGATGTGTGTTTGTGGCTAGGGAAAAAAAAAGTGAGCCAGTCCCTCAAGAAAGTGAGGAATGATCACTGGGAGGCCCGCATGGCCCCATGATACGCTCACAATTAAAGGATGACACTGAGCGCATTAAGTAGAGTGTCCCGCCCGACCATGGACCAGGGCCACAGAATGGGCTGCAATCAGTGTTAATAGTGACAGTGCCAACATCAGTGAGATGACAGATCCTGCGCAAGCAGATTTTGGTTTTGCTTTGCTTTTTTCCAGCATGAACTGTGGGTTTCCCTGACATAGGAAACTCCCTCTGCCAATGTTAGTGTGCAGTCATTCTGACTTTATAAAGAGAGCTGCCTGGGGCCACTGAGAGGTTGAGGGACTTAACCAGGATCACGCAACTCCTGTGTATCAGAGAGAGAACTTGGGCTAGTTAATGTCTTCTTGAGTCTGAATCCAGTGCTTTAGCAAGTTTAGGTCAGAGACTTCCATCAGAGTTTAATTGCAGGGAAAATTACATTTCAAGAGCCTTTGATTTCATCAGCGTGGATTCCCCTTTCATTCATGCAGATTTCAGCCTCTCTTTAACCTAGGGGAGAGAGAGACAGACAGACAGACAGAGAATGAGAATGAGAATATGGGTGGACAGATGATAGATACATAGGTAGATACAAAAATATATAGATACATACAGAGATACATAGATAAATACCTAGATACATACAGAGATATATAGAGATACATAGAGAGAGAAGAATGGATTAACAAGGAAATGTGGCTAGAGAGGTGGATGGATGGATAGATACATAGAATATAGAGTGAGTGAACATTTGGTTATACATGCCAGGGACTGTGCTTCATGCTGTTTTACAAATCCAAGCAAGACAGTCCCTGTCCCTGAGACGTTTGCAGTTCTGATGGAAGAAGACAGCTGGAGTGGACGACTGGGGGAAAGGACGGGTAGTAGAATAGGAGCAGAGAAGACCACCAGAGAGAGGTGAGGCAAGAGTGAGGTGAAGCTGGGGTCCTTCCTAAAATGGCAGTCCCAGGCGAGGAGTCACCAGTCACCAGAAACAGGGGGTCTTAGAGCACAGGCCTTAAAAAGGGACTGTCCAAATGTCTCTCAATGTCTCTCTCTGCAGGCATCCTGGTGACTTATAGGATCAAAGCTTTAGAGGTAGAAAGGTTCTAAGGGGTCAGAATTCAACCCTTCATTTTGCAGAGTAGGAAACTGAGTCTGGGAAGTTAAGTGACTTGTCCAGGGTCACAGAGGTAGTTAGTGTCTAAGACAGGATTTGAAGCCAGGTCCTCCTGACTCCAAATCCAGTGCCCTATCTTCTAAACCACACTGTGATGAGCCAGTCCATGGACAAGAGATGATGGCCAATAGCCTATAAGGCCTATACTGAGAGGCTGCTGGGTTTTTTGACAAGGTAAGACCTGCAGAGCTTACACACTGCCAAGACAGCCCCAAGAATGCCGGGTGGCTCACCTGCCCTGCCTCTGTGAGGCACCCAAGAGGCCCATGCCACAAGTGAAGCATTTCACTGGCCTTTTCTTTTTTAACCCTGAGCCCACTTGCTCCATAGATCTCATGGCACTGTCCCTGTAGCTGATCCCCAGACCCTGTTTCTAAGTCCCTCTACCCCTGGAGTCTAAATTCTTAGGTAGTAAACAATAGAAATAGAAATAGAGAAATTATTTTAATTACTTCCAATTTTAAATCCTTTCAATGAATCAACAAGCATATATTAAGCACTTAACTGTATGCCAGGTACTGTGCGAAGTATTAGGGATATGAAGAGAAGGAAAAATGGTCTCTACCCTCAGATAGCTTACAGTCTAACCAACATGCCCATAGATAGGCATATACAAGAGACATATGGAGCTGGGGGAATGTATCCTTAAAAGCACCGGGTCTAGTAGGTGAGGGGCAGGGGCCAGGAAAGGCCTTCTGGATGCTCCAGCACTGATGACAAATTAGAAGTGTTTTCCTTGCCCTCACTTAAAGTAGTAACCTGAAGGTGAAAATAAGAGGTGACTATAGATTTCAGGGCTAGAGTACCTACAGAGGTTAGAGAAAGGGTACAGAGGCAAACCACAGAGATGACAGAGTAGTCAGACTCCACCGTGGATCATTTCATTTCAAAATGGTCCCAGAGTAGGGCACCATTGGTGGGGGAAGTCACCCAGCATTTCAGCGCTGAAATAAATGATTGCCTTCAGCCGGCCATGTGGGCTCAGAAGAAGGGACGTTTTGGGGTGCAGTTCTGTCTTCACACATTGTCCTTTTCCTTTCCATTTCTTGTCACACAGCTGGTACCCAATAAATGTAACTAGCTGACTGGCTGACGACTATTAACGTTCCTTCACTATGACTCCAGGTCAAGTCTTAACACTGTGTTTTTCTTTGTCAAGGGCAACCAGATCCTCAGTGGCTTGTCCATTGATGAATACAAGGCCACGCTGAAAATGATCAAGCAGGCAATTTTAGCCACTGACTTGGCACTGTACATCAAGTAAGTGAAAAGCCTCCTTGGGACTAACAGCATTCTCTTGGGAATGTCTGGAACTGGGTAAAGTTGTTTAGAAACTCATCTTGGGAACTTTTTTAAAAACAGAATTTTAGAAGAAGTATTTAAGAGCATAGTCTAATATAGAAAAACAATAAAATTTCTTTCTTTGGCTTTATTTGAAACTAAAAATGACAGCACATCCTTCGTGTATTTTGGACATATATCCATTATGAGAGACAGCGTGGCATATGGCCTAGAGAACTGGTTTCACACTCTGGCCTACACTGCTGTACAAGTAAGTTAACCCTTAGTGCACCCAAACAACTCCCTAAGACTACAGGTTGCACAGATGCTGCGCTGCATTGGTAGAGGAAGTGTCCTATCCTGGGATTTCCTTATACCTATGAATCACAGGTCTAATCCCTAGTGCATTCCCTGTCCTATCCATTATTACATATCCAGGCCTAAGTATAAAGTAAATAGTCAGTTTCTCACTTTTGCATACAATAGAAAGAGTCTCGGGCTTGGAATCAGAGACCTAGGTAGGTTCAAGGAGTCTTTCTCAGAATCTGATGATTTTACTACTTATTGAAACCCTCTCTCAAACCTATCTGGAAAACAATGGCTTCTGGTCATGAGCCCTGGGAAATGTTGGGAAGGGAAAACAGCGGAAGCTGCTACAAAAAAGGAGGGGCCGTGATGACACATGGGTTTTATCTATCACCCTCATTCATCTCTGATGGCAGTAAAAGACTGGAGTTCCAGAATTCTTTGTCTGTTAAGATTTATGCCTGTGCCTTTGGGCAGAGGGGAGGGTGACAAACTTCAATGGCTTTTTAGTTTGTGCGGTGTTTACTGGGAATTTGTGGTTGCTGGGTCATTTTTCAGTCGCTTCTGACTCCTCATGACCCCATTTTGGGTTTTCTTGGCAAAGACACTGGAGTGGTTTGCCATTTCCTTCTCCAACTCATTTGACAGATGGGGAAACCGAGGCAAACAGGGTTATGTGACTTGCCCAGGGTCACACAGCTAGTAATGTCTGAGGCCAGATTTGAACTCATGAGGATGTCTTCCTGATTCCAAGCCAGTGCTCTATCTACTGCAGCCCCACCTAGCCGCCCATTACAGGGAATGGCACCCATTATGTTGGCGTTTACTTCTGTAGGAAATAAAAAGGGTGCTTTATTCTGGTATTTCTTGTAAAATAGGAAGCTTTGTGTAGTAGATAGAGAGCAGGTTTTGAGACCAGGCTGACCTGGGTTCAAGTCCCAGTTCTGGCACCTAGTGGCTGTATGACCTTGAGCATTGCCTACCTGCTCAGTGCTCGGGGCAGCTCTCTAAGACAAGGCCCCAGAGAAGGATCAATGCAGTGCAGAAGGAGTTTTCTCTTCTCAGGATTCCCTGGGCCAGTGAAATCGCAGGTCCCATCTGTACGCCCTATTTTTTGTGAATCAAGATGTTTCTTTACGGCCGCTGTCCACTGTCTCATACCAGAAAGCAGCTGCCCAACTGTGGGTCTTAGAGCACATCTGTGCTTACTCAGGAAGCATTCCTGTTTATCTCAAACACTGGATAATGGGGTCTTCTGAATATTCTGATTTACTAAGAAATACCATCTAGAATATTTTTGTATTTTTTCCACTATTTTACTTAAGTTACAACAATAAAACCCTCTCCATAAAACTGCCCCAAACTACTGTTACCCACTTTGGTCCCCTCTCTTAGGCTAATAGGATTTAGAGCAAAAAGACATCTTAAGGGTCATAACAAAATGGACATTAGAGATCACTTTACCCAATCCTTTCTTTTTTACAGATGAGGAAACTGAGGCCCAGAGAGATGAAGGGTTTTATTCATGGTCACACAGGCAATAAGTAGCAGAGTCGAGATTTGCACTCAGGGCCTCTGTCTGTAGACCTCCCGTTCTTTCTAGTCTTACCCCCCTTCCCCCACCTTAACGCTTATGGAATCCTGCCATTTGCTCATATAAGTGAAATGTACACTTTTCATAGCTGGGAATGAAGACATAAATGTTATAAAGTTTGGCTCTTAATTATGTGGGGTCTTGTATATTATTTTAACACCAGACCACAGGGATTAACAGCTCTGTCCCTGGAGTCAGAGGACCTGAAATTGAATTCTGCCTCTTGGCAGCTAACTGCCTGCCTGACCTGGGATTTCATGTTCCTCATCCATAAAGGGAGGGGTGTGAACTGGGCAGCCTCTGAAAGCCCTTCCAGTTCCAGAGCAACGGTCCTATAAAGCCAGGTGTATGACAAGGTCTGGAGATGCTGTCTTGGCTGGCTCCAGAGAGGCCTGCATGTGTTTAGAGGACTTCTGGTCCTTTCCTGCCCTAATATATGAGCCTATGACACTATGAATGTAGGCCCCTTGGGAAACATTCTCCTTGAAAATATTCATATTTTCATATCTCCAGTTACTTCCCTAACTTAAGATGCGTACTTAATGATACATTAATTGCAACTGGTTTCAAGAACATGAGGTTTCAATGACCAGCTTTCCCTATTTTATTAAATTTCATTTATTTGTTTATTTTATCAAATTTTATTTATTTTATTAAATAAATTTTATTTTATTAAATAAATTTTATTTATTTAATTAAATAACTTTTATGTATTTTATTAAATAAATTTTATGTATTTTATTAAATAAATCTAAGCAAAATGGAGTACTAGCTGGGAAATTGTCATAACCAGTCAAACATGTTCATTTATTTTGTAGGAGAAGAGGAGAATTTTTTGAACTTATAAGAAAGAAACAATTCAACTTTGAAGATCCCCAGCACAAAGAGTTATTTTTGTAAGTCTTTGTATCGTTCTTGAAGGTATGAGGTTGGCCCACTGATTACTATCTGCTGTCTCACATCATTGATATGATGTCTAGTGCAGCTCAGTGACTATAGCCCTACAGTCTGGTCAGAAGTCAAAAGTTAGCCAATAGGTCTGTGAGAGGGCTTCAAGAGCTCCCATCAACACACTGCTTTTTCATTTTGGAAGTGCCGTTAAAATGTGGAGAAGTGGTGCCCTGGGCCTGTCTGAATGCCCCATCTCCTCCTCCTTAGGAAAAGAAGTACTGAAAATCCCCATCTAAAATTTCAGATACAAAGAGGCAGAGTGGTGGATTTCAGTTTTCCATACAATAAAACTTCCTAATATATATAATAATAGCTTCCTCGAAGTACAGTGTATTTATGGGGGATGGGAGGTGGGATAATTTAAACTACTTGAGTTCTACAAGCCTGAGATTTACTGAGATTGCAAATCTGGGAGACTGGAAGGTCAATCAGTCAGTCAGAAAACATAACCATTTACTTTAGGAGAGGCACAGTGCTAATCGTGATGATACAAAAGCAAAAATACAGTCCCAGACCAAAAGGAGCTCAATTCTAACAAGACAGACAACATGCAAAATAAAGTACGTATGAGAGAGAGAGAGAGAGAGAGAGAGAGAGAGAGAGAGAGAGAGAGAGATGGATAGACAGATAGACAGACAGACATATCTACACACACACATATACATGTGTATATATGTATATAATATATTATAAATACTGAAATTTAATTTCTAAAAGTGCTCAAATTCTAACAAGGCAAACAACATTTCCAAAAAAGTACATATGAGATATATATGTATTTTATATCATATATTATAAATACTGAAAATTCCAATCTAAATTTTTAGATACAAAGAGGCAGAGAAGAGGATTTCTGTTTATATACAACAAAACTTTGGGGCAGAAAGGCCCAAGACACCAGACACCACTTTTCCAAATTTTAAAGGCACTTTTACGTGATGTACAATACACTTTCTTTCTCTCTCTCCATATATATACATATAATACATATATAGTATGTATCATGATATATATATAACATACGTTATATACATGCATATGATATACATGTAATAATGTATTGCACATGTACATTTATAATATAATACACACTATGCAGTGTTTGTATACGTATAATATACATATATAATGCCTTCAGAGAGACTCAGAGATAGAGACATTAGGAGGTAGTGGGTATAATGGAAGTTAAATAGAGTAACTGAGGACAGCCATAGAGTTAGGTCTTCTTGATGTGGATGGTAAGCCACCAAAGGCAGCTGAGGTTCTGTCACCAAACAAAGCGGCATCACAACAACCTGAAGAAGAGAGAGGATCCAGGAGGAGACAGAAGTCAGCTGTCCCAAGTGCTACAGAGAATCAATGGAGGGGACCCATTCAAGAAGGGAGAGGTTGGAGAAAAGACCATCAGATCTGTCCAGGAGGGGCCAGCTCTGAAGACGACGGTTTCAGGAGAATGATGGGTGAAGTCAAGAGCCAGTCAGACCTCAAAAGTGATAAGTGAGACATCTGTCTTCCAGGAACCATTCTCCAATGACCAAATAACCTGTGGTAACCAGAATGGCTTCATCACTCGAGCTGACAGTCTAAAGAAGCCCAGACTCAATTTTAGCTTAGAACTGAAAAGTGTTTTCTTCCCTTGGCAGGTAAGCACTGAGTCAGATTCTTGATAAAAAAAAAAAAAGATCGAATGGACTTTACTCTTAAAAGACTTTCTTCATAATAATACTTGTAAAATGCTTTGCAAACTTCCAGCGCTCTGTGAAGCTGGCTATTATTTTGAGTCTCTGAATTCTTGTTGCCTCCATTTGAAGAGTGTTAACAGAAGCTGCTCATGGGCCCAGAGGTGGAAGGGGGTTTGGGAGATCATCGAACCCAAGTCCCTCTTTTTACAGATGAGGAAACAAAGGCCCAGAGTATGTAGTTGACTCACCTGGGATCACACGGCTAGTAGATGTCTGAGGCAGGATCCCAACTCGGGTCTCTCTGACTCCAAGGTCAATATGCTAGCCATTTATGTCTGTTATTTTATGGGGAGAAGAAAAGGGCAAGGGGGACTGACTTTTGATCCAATTGAAGATGACCTTTCCTGTCTGGCCATGGCACTCACATTTAGTGTCTGAGGCAAGATTTGAACCCAGGTCTTCTTAACTTCAAGAGCAGCACTTTAACCACCACCCTCTGCACTCCCTCTCAGGCTTGATTCTCTTGATATTGGTAAATGTCAGTCAGTCTGTAAATGTTTACTAAGCATGTACTAGGTATCAAACATTGTACTAAACCCCAGTCTATGACAGATCTACTTTCATCCCCTTAATCCTTCTAACGCTATGGCTGCTAGGGCCCATTCAATCCAGAAGAACCCCACACACACTCTGTAAGCGCTGGCCCAGCTAAGTTTAAAGAGATTGATACTTAGAAAGTTGGCCCCCAGGCCCAGGAGTTCTTCAGACCGTGTGCATCAATGGAGGTTATGCCTACCCTGAAGAAAAAAAATTCACATGGAATTGAAGTAGAGGAAGACACAGTATGAGGGTGTTACCTTCCATGGGCAAAGACCAGAATCCTTCAATGACTTGGTAGAGTCTTTGACCATTGCTGGGGTTGAAAAATCCATTATGCCATGGCCAACCCAACCATGAGCCTCCCTAACCTTGGCTAGCCTGGCATCAAATAAAGTCCATGCAGGGCCTACAATTGAAGCCAGAGGATCATAGCTCTAAAGCTAGAAGGGATCTCAGAAGCCACTTAATCCTACAGCTGAGGCCCAGTTAGCATCTTCCCAAGTTATGACTTGCCCACAGTCTCTCAGGTAGCAAGCAAATGCAGGAATTGAACCCAGGTCCTCTGACTCTGACTCAGTGGCACAGCAGGCCTTTCCAGCATGATGGGGATCCACACTTTGCCAGCAGAGTCTTCTCCATGCCAAGATGAGAGGTCAGAGGAAGACTTTAGTGAACACCGCCTTCCTTGAAGACTAACCAAAAGGAATTTGGTGTTTGTCTTTCTGCCCTCTCTAGAGCGATGCTGATGACAGCCTGTGATCTCTCTGCAATAACCAAGCCTTGGCCTGTTCAGCAGCGGGTATGTCACCAATTTGTATAACCGTGACGGATTAGACAGCCATCCTAACAATACGTTCTATTTCAGAGCCAGCTGAGGTCTTTGCGGAAGATCTGGCTGGCTATTTATAGCAGTATTTACAAAGAATCATTGGCTGGGTGCCATATTTCCCATCTTAAAATTCCTGTGCACCTAATGCTAAATTCCATGGAGAGCCTATGTAAGGGGACAGACTCTCCTGCCCACTGTGCCAAATGTGAGGGGGCAGATCTGTTCTGCCCTGATTATGCCAGTTATCGGGTGGCAGACCCTCTGAGAATACTGAGATACCAGAGAAAGAGGGGTTCACACCAGATTGGTTATTGATAGATTTTATTAGGGTCAATGGGGTTAATTGGGAGAGTTTGCTTACAAGAGGCCACTCGACGTGGGTCACAGCAGGACAAAGGAACATGGTGGATCCCCGCACCAAGCCCAGGCCAGGTCAGCTGTTGCATAGAAACAGAACGAAGAAGGCAGAGTGCCACTGTGGCCCAGGGTGACGTGCAAGTTTTCCCGTGGGATAGTTGGGGCTTCTTTTGCTGTTTACATTTAGTTAAGGTAGTTTACATTCTACATAGAGACTCAAGGTCATGTTGCCACTCTGGCCTGTGAAAGCAAAGAAGCCCATGTCTCCCTGATCTCCAGTGCTCCTCATGGCTCTTCGCCCTTCTGATTAGTTGGGGAAGTTCACTCCCACACTAGTGTGGCTGCTTTGATGTTAATAATATGCATAGATAACCCTTATAGACCACCTGCTATAGATTCTCTCCCTTTGTCCTCACAACAAGCCTGGTGGGTACTATTATCATTCTCATTTTACCGACGAGGAAACTGAGGCACAGAGTGGTTAAGTGACTTGTCCAGGGTCACATAGCTAGCAAATACCTGAGATAGGATTTGAACTAGTGTATTCCTTGCTCCAAATCCAGCACTCTATCCACTACACCACACTGCCTGTCTTGATAAATAAGTAGATGTCATTTTATTGGTCATTACTGCTTGGTTTGCATTTTACCATTGCAATTGGGAAACTCAAATGGACTGAATGTTGAATGATTCTTGAAAATGAATTCTAGCCCAGTAAATCTCTTCGGGATCTCTGCTCTATTTCAGATAGCAGAATTGGTAGCCGCAGAATTTTTTGACCAAGGAGACAGAGAACGAAAGGAGTTAAACATTGAGCCTACAGTAAGTAGGGAGGCCTCCACTGGGTTACAGGGTCCCAAGCCTGGCCTTCACCTGTATGTATCCTTTGGAATTAGACTTCAGGGGTGTGGAACCACATGTGGCCTTTTGTGAAGGGGATTTGTTCTGTGAAGTTTGGATTCAGTGAAAGGGCCTCACTTGAGGACCTAGAGGGTCACATGTGGCCTCAAGGCTGCAGGTTCCCCATCCCTGGGGAACTAAATTGGCATCATCATTTTCTACCCCATTAGAATGTAAGCAACTTGAGGGCAGGGACCATCTTGCTTTTTGCATTTGTATCCCTGACACTTAGCACACAGCAAGTGCTTAATAAATGCTTTCCATTCATTCATCATTCCTAGTGTTCCTGGACCGCCCTATTTGTCAGGTACAGAACATTGGTCAGTTCTCTGTGGGATTAGACAGAAAGGAAGGCTGGCTTTGATTCCTTGTATGGCTGGGGCTGGCCCTCCTCAGCTAGCCCACTCAGCTTCCACAATCTCCTCTCATACTGTCCCTTAAGTAAAGGCAGATTTGTCTTGGTTTGCTTCCAGGATCTGATGAACAGAGAGAAGAAAAACAAAATCCCAAGTATGCAAGTTGGATTCATAGATGCCATATGCTTGCAACTCTATGAGGTACATGTGGGAAAGCAGGGCAATTCTCATCATGCTCTCATTCTTATTTAATATTATAATAAGTATGTGTTGCTATGCATTGTATTATATAGCATATTGTATGTACTATTATTATGTTAATATTATAAGTTATAATAATTGTTGATATTATTGTTATGCCTGACAAATTATATTTTGTCACAAAGTACCATATATGTTTATATATATATATATATGTATGTATGTTTATGTTTGTATATACATACATGTACATATACATATAATCTCATTTGAGCCCACCATTTGGAATTCTGTGAGGTCAGTGCTATAGGTGATAGAACTAACTTCCCATTTTACAGATATGAAAATGGAAGCCTAGAAAGCTTAAGTGATTCACCCTGGGTCACCCTATCAGCAGGTGTAGGAGGCAGGATTCAATCCCAGCACTGTGTCCACTAGGACACCGTCATGTTAAGAATGCTGCCCCTAGGACAGACATTGTTAACCTCTTCATTAACCTGAGGCAGCTAGCGGTGCAGTAGATAGGGTATTGGACCTGAAATTAGGGGATACCTGAGTTCAAATCCTACCTTAGGCACTTATTGGTTGTGTGACCTTGGGTAAGTCATTTAACCTTTGTGTGACGCAGTTTTTTCATCTGTAAGATGGATGTCATAATAGCACCTACCTTTCAGGGTAGTGAGAATCAGATGGGCTCATATTTGTAAAGCACTTAACACAGCGCCTGGCACATAGTAGAGGCTTCATAAGCACTTGTTTCCTTCCCATTTTACTGATGAGGAAACTAAGGCTGAGAGAGCCTGAGTTAGCATGCCTAGCGTCAGACTCTTTCTGGCCCTAGCCTCTCTTCCACATGCCTCAGAGAGACAATCACCAAGGAACACAGTGACACTGAGGGCCCTTGATACACTCCCATGTAGCTCTGGGGCTCAGCTCTGACATAGAACCAGCATGGCCTTCTTCCAGTTTTGCCTCTAGATACAGAGCTGGGCGTTCCTTGGACCCCATGCCCCTTCCTTTCCATCCTCATGATGACTGGTACTGCTTGCTCCTCCCCAAATATCAGTCATCGTCTCACGTCTTACTTAATACCTTAATACCTTCAGCGTTACCTTTTAATACCTTAGTTATTGTTTAATCTCATTCTGTAGTCATTATCCTGCATCCGTTTGACTCCCGCCCTTCTCACTGGGCAGAAGTTGGTTTCCTAGAGACATCATTAATTCTTTTTTTTCTTTTTTTTGTGAGGCAATTGGGGTTAAGTGACGTGCCCAGGGTCACACAGCTAGTAAGTGTTAAGTCTGAGACCAGATTTGAACACAGGTCCTCCTGACTCCAGGGTTGGTGCTCTATCCACTGCGCCACCTAGTGGCCCCGACATCATTAATTCTTGAGAAGCCCGGTTCCTTTTGTCCTTTATTCCTTGCAGGTGGCTAGAAGTCTTCCTTACCATCTTTTCCTTCCTAATTCCCAGCCATCGAATCTTTAATCTTTAGAATGTGGCCACACCTCTAACCCAGCCCAAGGGTTGGACAAGAAACTGAACTCAGCTTTCACTGCTTCCCATGGGCCTCCAGGAGTATTGTCCTACTTTGTCCTTGGACCTACACTGGTTTGGACCCAGGCTGACTTAGCTCACTAGTGCTTTAACCAATTGGCCACTGGAACAACATCTATTCATCAAATGAGGATCCAGTAAGATGGTGATATGCCAAGCATTTTGAAAACCTTCAGGTGCTTTGTGAATATTGGCCATGATGATGGTGGTGTTGACAGCAATGGTGATAATGATGGTGGGGGTGGGGGTGATGATGATGAAGATGATTATGGTGGTGATAATCACATGGTGATGATGATGGTGGGGGTAGTGATGATGATGATGGTAGTGGTGGTGATAATCATATGGTGATAATGATGATTTTGTGATGTGATGGGGATGATGGTGGGGGTGGTGATGATGATTTTGGTGATGTGATGAGGATGATGGTGGTGCTGCTGCTGCTGATGACATATCAGATCTGGGATTCAAAACCAGATCTCTAACTCGGTGAGGTACACGTCTCATCAACCCCATTTAACAGAGAGGAAGCTGAGTTTTAGAGAGGTCAGGTGATTTTTCCAGAGTGAAACGGTTCGTTAATGCAATGTTCAATGATGCATACCGCATGAAGGATTCTAAGTTTGGCTAATTTTGAGTCGTTCTTCTGGCACATTATTGAACTCAAGATGTCCAAGTGTGAAGTAAGCATTGCTACTACATTTTCAAGTGTGAGGCCTGGGATTCGAGTTCCTGGTCCCAAATGCAGGGTGCTTTCCATCTTACAGTCTGTCATACTTGTTAGTCTGGGAATTAGAAATGGAGTTAATTTCTAGGACTAAGGCTACATGCTCCCTTCTATGCTTAATTAATTCAGTCATAAGACAGGCTTCTTTGCCTTTTACTCATTACTGCTGTTAATTTTGATGGTGTGTATGTGTGCATACACATATATACACATGCATCTATGTATAAACACATATGTACACATATATGTGTGCATGTACATGCATGTATATATGCATGAATACATATACACAAATCCTTTTCCCATCGTCGTTAGTCAGAAGGGCTCAGGGTATCTTCTTTTTTGATCAAGACTTGCGATTTCTTCCATGGAAGGACCTCCTAGTGTTAAATACTCCCTGTACCATACATACACATGCATACACAAATTCACATGCACATATATTCATGTAAAAGTAGAAATTAGTAAAAACATAGAATGTGTGTACATATTCATGTGTATGTTATATGTGTTCATATGAGTATGAGTGTGCTTGTGGGTACCTTGTGTGTGCACATGTGAACACATACAAAAGTGTTTATACACAAACGTGTCTGTATAAACTCATTTTGGCAATTCTTGGGTAGAGCGTGTTACAAGTGGAGTGTCTTTGAGCTTAGCCCCGGCAACAACCCAAATGAAACAAGCTCTGTGTGTATTGAGAAAGACAGATTTCTCATTGTTAGAATTCTTAATTTGCTAAAGCTCGAGGGGAGGCCAAGACCGCCTGGCTTAACTCTCTCTTTTTGCAGATAAGGAGATTGAGAACCAGGGAGAAAGATGGACGTGCCCTAAATGTCCCACATCAGCTACCCCAACCACCTCACTTTACAAATGGGAAAACCAAGGCCAAGAGGGCAAAGAACTTGTCTAAGGTCGTAGAGTGAACACTGGGACCCAATCCCTTGCCTTTCCCAGGCCGGTGGCCTTTTCCAACCATGGCTGTTGGTGTTTGACCAAAAAGCCAGCACACAAACAGAGAAAAGAAGGTGGCATAATAAAGGAGCCAAAGCAGAAAGGGCTCCCCACATTGGAAGAGCCCTTCAGCATTCATTTATTCCCCACCACCGCCATGTTACAGAGAAGGCTCAGCCAGGTCACTAGCCCAAGGCCAGAGAGGCAGGAAGGAACAGAGTGAAGACCTCATCCCTCTTTCTCGCCCTTCCTCCCTGCCCCCTTGCTGCCGAGTTCTCCACCAGAAGTATGGCCAAAGACATCCCAACATTCTTGATCCTTCTCCCATGCCAGTCTCACCTCTAATCCCAATGACTGACTCTACAGCTCCCCCTGGTGGATGTGTTTGTACCTCTTCCCTTTCCTGATCTCCATCCCAATGACTGATAGGCAGGCCCCCCCACCCGGGACGTCTCCCCGTGCCATGAGTCGATGAGCATCATGAGAAGCTTGTATTTAATCTGTAGAATTCCCATTTCACCTATTTTTAATTCTCTGGTGAAGAAAAAAGACAGTACTAAATGTGGTAAAGGGGGAGAAAGGAGTTACTGACCACCATAGTCATCGTAGCCTCAGACTAAAGAAAACAGTGAATTTTCACAACGGAAGCTTCGTTGTCACAGAATATTCAGTGGTGCAAAGAGCACTGCTTTTGGAGCCAGGAGTCCCGGGTTCGAATTCCACCTCCTGGACCATGTTAGCTCAGCTATTTCTTCTGATCTGACCTTCCGTCTTTGGGTGCCGAGGCTTGAGCATTCACGCCTTGCAAGTGGCCGCTGGTCGGTCGCAGCATGGCATAGTGAGCAGGCGACTAGACTCATATTCGGGAAGCCCTGGGTTCTAACTCTGCCTCAAGCACTTACTAGGTCTGTGACACTGGGCAAATCACTTCCCCCCCTCGGCTCCTCAGTTTCCTCATCTGTAAAATGAGGCGGTTGCATGTCATGACTCCCAAGATTTCTTCTGCCTCTAAATCTGTGATCCCATGGTCCTCCTGTTAGGGCAGCCCCTGCCCCCATGCATCCTGCGCCTTTCCCTGGACCCAGAAAACCTCTTTACAAAGCAGAAATGAGGAGGTCCTCTGAAGCCCATCGGCCAGACAGGGCAGCAGCTGATCCTACCAGCTTCTCATCAATCCCACCACCCAGCTTATCTATTCTGTGTAAGAGAAGAAGGTGGAGGGATGGCTTCTCTCCTGCCCAGTGCCTCTGCATATCCAGGGGCTCCCATGCTTGACAGTCATACACATACTCCCTACTTCTCCCTCTCTCTCTCTCTTCTCTCTCCCTCCTGTCTCCCTCTGTCTTCTCCTCTCCTCTCCCCTCTTTCTCCTCTTTCTCTCTTCCACCACCTCTCTCCCTCCCTCTTTCTCTCTCTCCTCTCTCTCCTTCCTTCCCCATCTCGCTTTCCGGTCCCCCTCTCTCCCCTCTTCTTCACCCTCTCCCCCTTACTCCCGCTTTCTCCACATCTCTCTGCACTCCTCTCTCTGTTTCTTCTCTCTCCCCCTCAAATCCCACCTACAACCATGAAACCTCCCTCAGTTCACACTTTCTTCTCAAATGCAGCCCCTCTCTGCAGCTTGGGCCAGGCCACCCTCTCGCTGGAATTGCTCACTCCTCCTCCTAGTTCTCAAGCTCACTTCTCCACCTACAAAGCAAGCAGCAGGCATCTAAATATCCCCCATCCTGGAACTGCAGGCCCCTGTTTCCCTGGGGCCTCCCTGGGACCAGCTGGACAGAAGAGCCCTGGTCAACCCCCTACCCTCGAGGCCTTTTAGCAGGACCTGCTAAAATTTATGCTCAGCTGGACCCCACTGCCATGAGGCCTCACAGCAGGGCCCAGACAGAGCAGAGTTACCATTTCTCTTGCAAGATCATTGTGTGTGTGTGTGTTGTGTGTGTGTACGCGTGTATGCATGTGTGTATGTGTATACACGCACATGCATGAATGCATAGAGAGAGAGAGAAGACACTCTTCATGTTTTTCTCAATAAAAAAGGTTTTGTCCTTTTGTCCTAGGATCATACATTTGTAACTAGAAAGGACCTTAGAGGACATTGAGCACTCTTGATGACAGATCAGGAGAGGTTAAATTACTTGTCCAGGGTCCCACAGCTCGTAAGCCTCTGCGGCAGTGTGTCGGCTCTTCCTGACTCAAAGTCCAGTTTCCCATCCACGATGCAGGCCACTTCCTAGGCTGTCACCAAGCTTGGCAGTGTCCATATGTGTCCACAGAACTTCTGATAAGTCCATCAGGAGTCCTCCTCCCAAATCACCGAGTGGGGGCTATAGCCCTTGACCTGAGGCTTGGGGGCAAGGGCTGGCCGGCTCCTTCCGCTCGTCTGATCTGTGCTTCTCTTCTCAGGCTCTGGTCCACATCTCAGAGGCCTGCTTCCCGCTGCTCGATGGCTGTAGAAAGAACAGGCAGAAATGGCAGGCCCTGGCGGAGCAGCAGGAGAAGAGCCTGCTCAATGGGGAGAGCGGCCAGCCCAAACTGAACTGAGGGCCTCTGGCAGACGAGCACGCAGAGTTTACGTTTACACAGATGTCCTATTTTGTGATACGGACTTTTCCTAGACACTGTAGGAGTTGGGTATATCCTTTGCCACTGCTGTATTTTTTTTAACGTTTGGTTTTATTTTTGCACAACTTTGAAGGGCATAGTGTGACGTGTTTTGGGGGGCCTGGTGTATATCGTCTGGATGGGTCTTTATACCACTGAAGGGAGGTGGCCCGCTCTGCCCGCCATGGCCACAGTTGGCAGAAGACCAGTCTCGATGCTGAGGTTCAGCCACAGAGGTCTGGGAAGGCTCTGGGAAACCTTTGGCCCTGGGCTGGTCCATCTGTGTCCCTGGTTGTTTTGCTGTGGCTGAATGAGCAGTTCTTCAAGAATGCTTGGCAGCTTCCCTCCCTTCCTATGGGAGCCAGGATCAACAGTCCATTCCTCAGTGTTTGAAAATACAGAGGAGAGGAGGCTGTTGTTCAGGCCTGACTTTGGACAGGGCTGGACTGCAGGGATTTGGGAGGCACGTTTATCAGCAATCGCAAGCACATCGACTCCACAGCTTTCAGAGTTCTAGACTATTGGGAAGGCTGTGACATACCGTGCAATCTATAGTGAAGGGAAGCACAGAAGACACACATTATGGTCGGCTGGGATCTCACAGGCCATCTGATCCAACCCTCTCGTTTCAAAGCTATGGCCATGGGCCCGCAAAGCTGAATGACTTGTCCAAGGTCACACAAGTAATACGCATCAGAGGCAAGATTTGAACCTGCATCCGTAGGGCCATAGTTCTAGAGAATGAAGGGGCTTCAGAAGCCTCCTACTCTGACTCTCCTATTTTACAGATAAGGCAGGTGGAGCCCAAGAAATCTAAGTGACTCTCCCAAGGTCATGCAGGTAGTGAGCATCAGAAGAGGAATTTGAACCTGAGTCTGTAGATCCAGAGTTAGAGGGGCCCGTAGAGGGCAGCCAACCCTTTCATTTTACAGATAAAGAAATCAAGGTGTGCAGCAGGTGACTTGCCCAGGGTCACATAGCTGGTCGGGTTTTTGATGAGAAAGGCTACATTGCAAATGTCTGAGGGAGAAGGAATCTTTGAATAAGCTTCCAGACGTCCCCTCCTTCCATGGGGCACTGCAAAATCACCTTCTTCTCTTCAAAAATAGTCTTACAGCTTGTATCTTGAAAATTTGAATTTCAATCATGTAAATCTCAAAAGAAAAGAGTGAATTCAAGGTAATAGCAATTCAACATTGTCCTGAGTGAAGGTGGCCACAGGTAGGGTAGAAAGGCAACCATTTCTTCCCCTTTCACTTAGAAAAGAGAGCCAGGAGGCTGCTGGAAGAAGGACTTTCATCATTAGTGCAGCTCAGAGAACACAGCCAATCCTTGTACTTTGATAAGTATTAGGGTCATCATGATCTCCTTTTGCTACCCATATTGTGATGCTGTTGGGGGTCAAAGGGAAATAGCAGAATGGACCGTCCAAGTCCCCTGCCATAAAAGGAACCCTGAGTCATATGGAAGTGAGTTGTTTCAGTCTATGGGATCAGTGGACCTGGAGGAATCGCTTCAGGGCCAGGCCAAGCCTTGCCCCCCCAGCGATGACCCAGTTCCCATACTTCTCCTGGCTGCCGCCTTTCTCCCACAATACTTCACATGTATAAATAAACTTCCTTGGTGGGGTCAGAGGCAGTTCCCATTCCATATGTGTGCCCTTGAGCCCCTCTCAATGAGCTCACAAGTGCCTTGGGAAAGCAGGCATGCACAATAGGAAAGAAGGAGGCCTGGAGCTTCCCAACCAACAATTTCAATGTGTTTGCTCACAGTTCCCATCACCCCATAGTCATAAAGGCTTGGGAAAGCTGGGTTGTTTTTTCCTAGTCCAGACCTTCCATATAGAGAATTTCCAGTGACCAAGGCAGATTGCTAATTCATCTATAACTTACACTGTTAGGCAGTTGCCTGGGAGTGCTTTGAAGTTAAGTGACTTGTCCACAGTCACACAACCAGTAAGTGTCAGAGGCAGGACTCTTCCTGACTTCACGTCTGGCCCTTGGCACCCACCTTGCCACACCAGCATCATAATGACGAAGTACAAGAAGACTATTTCCTACAAACACGTCTTATGGCTATTTCACACAGGCATTTACATAAAGTTCAAGATGGAACTTAATTTTGGAAATACTTTGGGTACCGTGATCTTATACATAAATGATACATATATATAAATTTCTTGTGATTTTGGCCAAAGTTAACATTCCCTTAGGTACCCCCTCGATAATCATAGCTGGCTCTGTGTCAGACTGTAAAATACTTTGGCAAGCTCCCAGCTGCTCACCAGTGGGCTTGCTGGGGCTGGAGTACAGTGGGGTTTGGTTTATCTTTATGACATTTTGCAGAGATGAGAGTTGTGACCCTTGCCCCTTAATGACAGAACTTGTAAATGCCTTGGATTGCCACTCGGAGCTCGTTAGCTAGGTCTGCTGGCACATCTCTCCAGAAGTGGCCATCATTTCTGACACTTTTTATCTCCGTGACCTTGGGTCCTGAACCTCAGTTTCCTTCTCTATAGAATAGGAAAGTTTTCTAAGATCATATGATCTTATCCACATCGTATACCCTGTAATAGGACGGACTTCAGAATTTCATCCACACCCAAGTCTGCACTGAGGAAATCAGAATAACATGAGTTACTCTCATTTTCCATCAGTTTAGACCTTTCCCACCTAAACAAAGATGATTTTTCAGAAGATACCTTGTAGGCAACTATTATTGGAATGAAGATGGGTTTAGCTTGTATGTGGATACTGTCTAATGCTGTTTTCACACTTTTGAGTCCCAGAAATTAGGAGACACTCTTCCTAGATGATGTTTCTCCATTGGAGAACATGGTTCAAACGGAAGTTGAAAGTCCTCCCTCACTCCTTTCCATTTAAGTAGTTCATTTTGAAGCTAACAAGCTTTATTGTTGCCCAAAATAGGGACCCTCTAGCTGAGCTATTTAGTGTCCCAGAATAGAACTGGAAGGGACCTCATAGATTTTTCAGTCCAACTCCTCACTTTACAGATAAGGAAATTGAGACCCAGCTAGTGTGTGTGTCTGAGGCAGAATTCTAACCCAGGTCTTGTTATTCCATGGGCCGTGCTGTTTCCACTCCACCATACTTCAATACATTAAATAGCTCTGATTTCCACAGTGCAGACAAGCCCAGCCCTAAAGCAGAGCTCAACATGTTTATAATTGAGGGAATGCCAGAACCCAAAATTTTGCCCCCCACAGCCAGCCTTGTGTTGACCTTAGCTAAGTTGACCCCTTAAACAACATCTATCAGCAGACTCCCACAATCTGTGAGAAGTGGGCACAAATCAGCAGAATTTTAGCTGCTAATGCAAACGTCCATTTCCTATTCTTTTCCCAGTGCAGACAGCAAAAGTTCATTTTTGTTTTTTCCTACTTTGATCCTTAAAGCTCTGTGATTTCATCATCTTGTGTGCTCCTGCTCCCCTGTGGGCCACAGCCTCTCCTGCCTTCTCAACCTCTACAATTCTTGTCCAGGTTTTGTCTTGCACCTTCTACAGAGCCTTGACCTCAATGTTTTTCCTAAAAACCAAATAAAGCACACATTTTAAATGTTTCTGCTATGTGATAGCAGGAATAACAGATATGAAAGCTGAGAGTAACGTGCCGTTACTATCTGGTAAAATGGCCTGGCTTTTTCATAGGATTTTTTTTCCATGGAATTTTAGTAGTTTCATAGAATTGGTGTTTTCCTTCTTGTGGGGATTTGTGCAGATTACTGAATCATTCTGTGCCTGAGGGAACTAGGGAACTTTTGTAAATGGAACTAGGGATGCTTAGGACCTATACACTTGATTTCTTTGATGACAGCAGCATGGTGGGCAGCTGCCATATTCTCCCTCAAAACTGCCAATGTCAAAAACTGGATACAGGACATTGGTCTAATGCAACTTTTCTTATGTCCTTGTAGATTGCCCAGTCTTTGCAAAGGTGAGAATACTTTTCCCATACTTCACTTGTAGATATTTGGTAAGGAAGAAATTTTTACAAACTCTTAAGGATGTGGTCACCACCAATTGATCTCCCCTTTGAAGTGAGACAAAAGCAAGTACAGAAAATATTAAATATTGTGCAAGGAGGGAGTAGGGTGGGAGGGAGAGTAGGAAATTACTATAACCATATGCTCTCTGCTCCACTGCTCACTTGAAGCGTGTAATGCAGGAGCTGGAGGGCTTGGATTTCTCGATTTGTTCACAGCTCAATGTTTTTCACCAGATTTGATTTCTCCATCTTTAACATGACCCACCCCCATTTCTGCTAGATCTTGCAAGTGATATATGAACTACTGTAATATTTGTCAGCAATGTCGTGTTTGGGGTTTTTTTTTCCTGGATGGCTGAAATAGAATGCTGAAGCCATGGGATAGCTGCCCTCTTCTGCAATTGATCAAATCCTCTGAATGGGTAGCAGGGAGGGAGGATGGAAGGGAGCATCTTCTGGGGGACAAAGGACCCCTCTGGAGACTTATCTGTTCCTAACTTTAATGACTTGCAATGGAAATTAGGACAGATAATGTTCTTTCTGTTTCCCCACCACCATTCTCAGGCATTTATTGAGTGCTATGAAGTTTCATGAGACCTTTCTTAGGACAAGCCTGGAAATTGGACACTGATTCACCATCCCCATCATTCTCTAGGGTCAAAGGCTGCTGAGGCAGGCATGCCTGTCCAACATCCCACTACATAGAGTTGTTTGTTTGGGTTTTTCCCCCATGCAAACCAGATTGTGGCTCTTCAGAGCCATACACTTGGAAGTCAAAATCACTGTCCCAGGATGTTAAATATTTGTTGGTATTAAGTAAGCACCTTCCCAGACCCCTTTTGCTCTGCCATATAAAGGAAGAAAGCGCTGGACTCACCTTCCCCCTCCCTACACCTACCAAAAGCCTGTGTATACATGTTTTAATGAATGTAGCTGAAAGTGTAAATACTTTTTAAAAATAAATTACATGATAGTTTAATTTTTTAAAATCACAAAGAACCATCACTAGCCACTGTTAGTATTTCTTTGTATTCTTATACTTTTTCGAAGTATTGGAACAAATATATAGTTTCTGGACACTATTTTTGTACTAGAATGGGGAGGGGAGGGTACTGTGTATATTATGCTGAACTTTCAAGTGGTTTGAAAGGCTTTTGAATGTCAATGTCTTTTTCCCACCCCCTCTGTCATCTCTCACCCCCTGTTTCAGACAATCTTCTTACATGACAGACCTAAGTGTAAGGACCAGTTGGGTTGGACTGTCCTCCAACCAACTGGTGGAAGAAAGAAAAAACCCTCGGGGTGTTTTCCACAGAAGTACAGACTGTTCACTTGCCACTTACCTCCTCATGGTATTCTTTGTACTGTTTTTCATTCTTTGAAAAATAAAAAAGGATGAGGAACAATTAAATTTCACTCTTGTGTGATCATTATGACCCCTAGAACTGACTTGGCAGTGGGGAAGGGCAAATGGACTTACCTCCCTCAGAGAATCTGATGGTTCAGGACACTGGCATTACTGTTAAGAAGGATTCTAGGCTTTCAAGCTAGGAGGAGCCTGAGGAATCATCTAGTCCCAAAGAACCCATTTCACAGAAGATCAAGAGACCATTGCACAAATTCAAGCAATGACTAGTAGTTATGATGGCTAACGTATAACACATGAACGTTTGCAAAGACTTTCCACACATTATCTCATCTGATCCTCACAACAAGCTTGGAGGGGAGGTGCTGTTATCAACCCTGTTTTATAGGGGCAGAAATGAGGCTAAGAGGGGTGAGGTGAATTGCCTAGGGTCCATCCCACAGTGATGAGGCTGAGGTGAAATTCGAGCTCAGCTCTTCCTGCCTCCCAAGGCCAATGCTTTATCACCTCCAACTCAATCCTCATAGCAGAGCCAGCATTCATTCTAAGGCCTTGTGACTCCAAATTCAGCAGTCTTACCTTGATATCAGGTCGAAAATGTAGTGATTTTCATACCTTTAATGAACATCTTTCCACTCTCAGATGGGGCCAGTGCTCCTTTTCATCCCAATCTCAACCCATAAGCTTTAACACCCAATGTGTTCCAACATACTCATATGTGTGTGCACATGCATGATATCAGAGTCCATTCATATTAGGACAATCAGAGAGGAAACTCAAATTATATATACTTGGAAGACATTTCAGAAACTAGAGTTGGCCAGCCTGGCAGACTTAGCTGAATATCCTCTGACTCAATGATGCCACAGGAAACAGCAATGATCATTCACTTCCCTTTATTACTTTAAGATTTTAAAAGTCCTATCCTCTCAACACGACTGTGAAATAGGTCATGCAAGCATCATGCCCATTTCTTAGATTAGGAAACTGATACTCTTAAATGTTTTAAGTGACTTGATCAAGCCCTTCACATAAGACTCAAGAGCCATACATTTGAATGCTACCAATTCTGCCAAAGGGTAGAATTCAGGTTGGAAACTTAGATCTTAGCTGTGCTACTTTCACAATCTTGGGCAAGGACCAGGTCATGAAGAGGCAGCCATAGTATACTGGGAGGAGTCCTGCCCTTAGAGTCAAAAGACCCGAGTGCAACTCTCACCTTCATCATGGGGAATCCTTAGTAAGCACTTCTAGACTTTGGTTTCCTCATTTGTAAAGTACAGAACTGGATTTAGATGACCCCTAAGGTCTCATCCAATTTGAAATCTCAACATCCTGAGATCTTCAAGGTCTTTTTCTGTTCTCTTATTCTACTCTATAAGTCCACAATGGGTTTCCATATTAAAAAAAAAAAAACAATAGAGATATCCCTGCTGAAGAGCTAAGATTGCCTGCTAGAGCCTTAACCAGATAAAAACAACTTGCCTACTTGCCAGTTGCACAAATACATAATATTCATTGCAAAAACAAAACAATACAAAAACTTTTGCAACAAATATTTCTGACTTGCAAATTACATTTGAAAATGGCATAAATACATAAGACCCAAGAGCCAACAGACGAGTAGTCAAGGATGAAGGAAAGAAGGAAGGAAGGAAGGAAGGAAGGAAGGAAGGAAGGAAGGAAGGAAGGAAGGAAGGAAGGAAGGAAGGAAGGAAGGAAGGAAGGAAGGAAGAAGGAGGAGGAGGGAGGGAGGGAGGAGGAGGGAAGGAAGGAAGGAAGGAAGGAAGAAGAAGGAAGGAAGGAAGGAAGGAAGGAAGGGAAGGAAGAAGGGAGGGAGGAGGGAGGAAGGAAGGAAGGAAGGAAGGAAGGAAGGAAGGAAGGAAGAAGGAAGGAAGAGGAGGGAGGAGGGAGGAGGGGAAGGAGGGAAGAAAGGAAGGAGGGAAGGAAGGAAGGAAGGAAGAAAGGGAAGGAGGGAGGGAGGGAGGAGGGAGGGAGGGAGGGAAGAAGGAAGGAAGGGAAGGAAGGAAGGAAGGAAGAAGGAAGGAAGGAAGAAGGAAGAAGGAAGGAAAGAAGAAGGAAGGAAGGAAGGAAGGAAGGAAGGAAGAAAGGAAGGAAGGAAGGAAGGAAGGAAGGAAGGAAGGAAGAAGGAAGGAAGAAGGAAGGAAGGAGGAGGGAAGGAAGGGAGGAAGGAAGGGAGGAGGGAGGGAGGAAGGAGGGAGGGAGGGAAGGAAGGAAGGAGGGAAGGGAAAACTATCAAAACATCATATGAAAAGTGATCTAAAATCTTTAAGGGATGCAAATTAATAAAACTTTAGAGCTTTGCCTTCTCTATCAGACTGACAAAGATGATAAATGCCCATTGCTGGTGGGGCTTTGAGAAGATATTAAAAAACCTTGTTGTTGAAGATGTGAATTGTTCTAACTCCTCTGGAGAGCAATCTGGAGTTATTCAAGAAAATTTGCTAAATTGTTCATACCCTTTGACCCAGAACATATACTTCAAGTAGACCAAAAACAAAACGGCCCAAGGATGCCCCAATAGTAATAGCAATACTTCCCATGATAGCTAAAAACTGGAAACAAAGTGGGTGTCTATCAACTGGGGAATGACTGAGCAAAGTGTGGGAACACATATATGAGGTTAAAATAAAAGAGAAATCAATAGAAAATGTCAATCAAAGCAGAGCATGAGAAATAAATCCAGACCTCAGGATTTAGAGCTAGAAGGGCCTTAGAAGTTATCTAATTCAAAACCTTTGTTTTGCGGATGAGAACAGTGAGGCCCAGAGCAGATAAGTGAGAGATTCTCCAATTCTTCCCTTGCCGTTTTAGGCTGTGTTCAGTGATATTTACCTCGTGGTTTCACAAATGAAGCAAAGCTTTTTCAAGCACATCTGCAATTCCCCTACAGTCAATCAACAAGCTTTGATCAAGTTCCTACTGTGTGCAAGGCGCTGTCCTAGGTTCCGGGAATACCAAGACACAAGTCAGCCCATCAATCAACACTAAGTGCTTAGCTGGGTATCCAATGAAGGGCTGGGAGTGCAAAGAAAGTCAGAAGGAGCCCTTGCCCTAAGAACTTCATGTTCCAATGGACTACACAACACATAAATAAGAACACACGTATAAAATAACGTGTGTACATGCAGAGAAGATGAAAGATAATTGCAAAGGGAAGGACTGGGGAAGAAAGGAGACACGAGCAGGTGTGGGGAATTGAAATTTTAGTTTTATAAGCAAGTGAAGGGAGAAAAACAAGTACATACAGTGGCATGTACAATAGAAACAAAGGAATCTGGGGGAGAGGCACTAGCAGCTGGGGGAATCCAAGGCTTTGCGTCAGAGATATTTGAGCAGTCTTGCAAGAAACTAGAGATTCTAAAATAAAATAAAAATAAATAATATTAAATAAAATATTATCAATAATACAATTATATATATGATATATGATAATATATTGCTTAAGGATTATAATATGTTGTATTAATTATATAATATGATTATATAGTTTGGCCCTAGGATAGTCTGGAACTCCTGAGCTCAAGCTATCCACCAGCTTCAGCCTTCCCCAAGAGGAAGGATTACAGGTGTGTACCATCACACCTGAATATAAAGTAACATTTGGTAGTTTGATTGTTGTAGCGCTAAATCTCTTAATTAATTTCAGCAATGTTGTCCTTTTATTACGTAACAACATAAGCCATTAATATTTCACCAATTATTTGCTTTCCATTATTTCTATAAAGAGCATTTTGAAGTTGAATTGTGAAGGTGTCTTGGTAGGTGGACTCTCAGATACTTTATACACTGTAGTTGAATAGGATTTCTTTTTCTGTCTCTTCTGATGTGTTCCCTAAGTAAATCATCATATCATTTACAAAAGTAATAATATTGTTCCTTCTTTGCCTATGTTTATGCAAAGTCTTTATCTTGTGTTATTGCAATAGCTAGCATTTCTGGGACTGCAACAAATAATAATGGTGATAATGTACCTCCTTGCTTTATCCCTGATCCTATTGGACGGGTCTGTTACATCTTTCTATCTCTCAGACAATATTAGTGCTTTGTTTCAGATATTTGTTGTTTATCATTTTAAAGAAATGTCCATTTACTCTTTTGCTTTTCAGTGTTAGTAACATATATGGGTATTGTATTTTGTCAAAATACTTTTCTGCATCTCTTACTATAATCTTATGGTATATATTGTTTTCCTTATTCATATGGTAGGTTACGCTGAATTGACATGAATCTTTATATCTTTCTTAACTCTGTAAATGAGGCATTCGGGAAGAACTAGCACCTTTGGTGTGAGGGCTTGCCAAGCCCTTTCCAGGGCTGCTCATCCACCTTTGGTGTCCATCTGATTCACCCAACTCTCACCTGTGGCTCCAAGAAGCTGTACATGTACAGTGGTCACAACCCAGTAAAATCATCTTGGCAGGTGGGCTAAACCAGGTTTAATGTCAGGCTTAAGCGACAGGCCACAAACCCATGTGTGAGTTAGGGGTGTCTACCCCAAGCATGGGAAGACTTCCCCCAAGGGGAATAGGTGGATGAGAACAATTTGTTCCAACAACCATGGAGGTGGCTAATGCAGGTGCTATGGAGCACTTAGAGTTTGGTCAGACAAATAAGACGCTAAGGTCATCCACTGCATCCTGAGCCATCGCCAGTCGTCCTGACTCTTGTCTTGCTGCTGGACTTTGATGACTCTGGAAGAGAGAGTGAGGCTGACTACTTAGTACAACTCTCCCTCACTTAAATCCAATCCACACTAGAGTCCAGACATCACCCCGTGATGTCATTGGTCCTCTTCAAAACAACGACAATATAACCCCTAAAACATTGGGATTCTGAAGCAACACTGCTCTCTTTCCCCTGTTGGATGTAAACATGTGATTATTACTTAGCCTCTTCCAGATATATATTCCTTTCTAGCTTTCTCTTGTCTTCCATCTATGTTTGTGCCTCAAAGACTCTATTCAGCTCTCATCTTTTCATCAGGAATGCCTCCAATTCTGACTCTAACCCTAATCCTAACCCTAAC